CTTCTCACAGAAAAAACATTACTTTTATTCAGCAAGAATGCATTAAATTGATAAAAGTGACAGTAAAAACGTTTTTTTTTAAACAAAAAAAACATAAGATGTCTATTTTAAGTAAATAAATACTTTTCATTTGAACTTTTTATTCATCAAAGAAGCATGAAAAAAGTATCATGGTTTCCACAAAAATAGTAAACAGCAAAAACTACAGGAAAAAAAATACATTAAACATTAATAATAATAAGAAAATGTATTAATAATTGTGCACCATTTCAGCACATTAGAATAATTTCTGAATGATCATGTGACACTGAAGGCTGGGGTAATGAAAATTCAGCTTTAGAAATAAATCACATTTCACAAAATATTAATATTTCACAATATTATGGTTTTTAGTATATTTTTGATCAAATAAATTCAGCATTTGCGAGCATATAAGAGACTTCTTTCAAAAACATAAAATCTGAATTACTCCAAAGTCCAAACTTTATTAGATTTTGGCATGCATGTGGTTTCAGTTGCTCTTATATTTTTTTGGTAAATTTAGAATACATTTCAGTATGAAAGTTATTGATGAATCATGATTTGTTTGTGAAAACGTTCATATGCACAGTTAGTGACGCATTGTCTATTCCTCAAAGAGTATTGTCTAGTATGTATATGCGATGGGAAACTCAGGGACCGTTTTAGTCCCACATTCCTCACTGTTTTTGGAGTGTAAGGCATTGCTAAAAGTACAGCGTACCCACCATGCACTGTGACAAACTGCAAAGAGCACAATTTTGTATAGGCTGGGCTTCTGAAACCATGCAACGTTTAGCAAACCGATGTATTAATATCTAATGCCATGCAAAATCAATACAATATTGATGGTAGTTTATCCCTCCATGACAGTGTGTTGATTTGATGTGGTGGGTACATGGCGTCCTGTGAAGCCGGCAGGAGAATGTGGACCATAGTGAGTCACTGCTGTTCCAGGCTCCTGCCTGTGATGCTGCCTCTGCCTCTGGCTGCGATGACCTTTGTGAGGCAAATTACTCTTGATAGATCCTCTAACAGCATTGCAGCTTGCAAAAATAGCTCCCCATGTCTCCTCCCCATCTCAGAGGCTCAGCGACCAGAGATAACACGGCCGGCCCGACTCCTGTGGGCCGAGCTGGAGGAAGTGAGTTTTTGTTTTTGAGTTTTTGGGTTAATTAGTCGCAAAGGTTACACATCACTGATCAAAGACTGGTGACCCATAACTGGGTTTTCAACAAGGAGGAGGGATTATATATTTTATATGTGCTGTTATTGGAAAGACATTCACTAAGGAGCGTGATATAGTTTTATGGATGTCGTCAGGCCCTCTGCTGACCCAAAACGCTCTCTTTTGGACACGTGCCTGCTGTATACAGTACATAAATACGCACACATATTCATACAGACCTGCCAGAGATACTGAGCGGCTCGCATTAGCTTGAGATGAAGTGCCAGGGCTAGGATGGATTTCTTTTTGGTTACTGTGAAAGGGAGAGTGTGGAATAAAGTAAGAGACTGTACTATATTGACGAGAGGGACAGGGTGCCAAGAGAAAGCAGGCCTGAAAAATCTGTTTGTGCAAACACTTTTCAATGAGTGTTGATTTAGGTGATAACAGGGCTTCTGAGAATGTGTTGCTGGCAATCCGTCTTTGTGTGTGTGGCCCATTTGCTCTGCTACTAGTATTGTCACTTTGTTGTCACACATACAGGAGACTGTCATAAAGGCAAAGTGTTCAAAAGCATTAATCAATATTTTTCACACTTTTTGCATAGTTTGATAGACATTAATAAATGCTGCTCATAAGACATTGTTACTATTAGACTTCATTACTGCAAGTATGCTTGTTGCTGTGTATATACAAACTTTTGGAAAATAGAGGGATGTGTGATATTGGTTCCATATAAATTATCAGCTGACATACAGTATAGAGACTTTTTAAGTTATTAGTATCAGCCAAGGGTATTTAGTCAAGTCAAGTCACCTTTATTTATATAGCCACCCCTTTCTTACAGTAGATTGCAAGCTCACATTCAGATCTGCCTCCATCCAATTAACAGCCGATGGATAGAACAAAGTCCCGCCCTACATTTTTTCTTTTTATTTATTTGTTTCACTTAGATTCATTCACTTGTTTCATCAAAACTTTTGCAACTAGGTTAGGGACATGAGCAGAACAATAAAATCTACATAAAAGGCACTTGTAAAAATTTTCCGTGATAGTTTTTATGTGACCTTCATATAAAAGAACAAGAGAATTAAAGTTACGCTTCTAGTTTCAACCCCTGGGATGTACTGTACAAGTGCCCGTAGTTGAAGAAACACTCATATGCAAGTGTGCATGCATGCCCACACAATTGTTGCATCTAAATACTGAGCTTTGTCTGATACTAACAACAATATAAGTCCAGCAGTCCCAAGGTCCTTTGCGGTGTCAGACACAGACTTTCACACTGCGTGGGCAAGCATTGATTGTGCTGGCCTCTAGGGGGTTTCTCTTAATGTACTTAGAGCTCAATAGTATCGCTATAGCTCTTCAAAGCAGCACCCACACGGCCCGTCCGCACAAGTCACCGCATTAATTATTATGGCTTTGGCAATGAGTAAGTGTCTTCAATATCTGCAGCATGTCCACCTGCGGGGTTTCATAAGCTCACCGCCGAACAATAGTTATGGCTGTGTCCCTGTTTTTATGAGCTATCCGTCTTGTGTTTCTGCGATCTCATGGTGTATTGTGATTAGGAAGCCCGCTGAAAAAGCTGTGTTCCTCCCCTGTGTTATTAAGTGCCATTATCTCCCTAAAGCCCCGGTTGTTTACTCGCTTGCATCCACTCATGTGGAACAGTTTTTGGCACATTTCATGTAGATGTCCAGCGCTATTCCAGAGCTCTTGTATGATACGTATTTTATTAGGGATAGTGGGAAAGCAAAGGGATCAGGGAGGGCTAGAACTGAATATTGATGTGTGTGTGTGTGACTTTAGCTCTGCGTGAATATGGGCAACGCTGCAAGAGTGTTAACAAGCCAAATAAGTCGATTAAACTCGATATTGGCCCGCGCCTGAGGAGACCTCTCTGTGGAGAAGGGGCTGGCAGGAACCTTTAGCTGGCTTGCACAGGCAGCTTCCTCTTTTTCATGGAAAACTAAATCAAGCACGTTGGCTCTGAAGAATAGCCATGAGATGAAGGCCATTCGATGTGTGTCAGAAGAAAAGTGCTTTCACAGCAATCACAGCGTCAGCATTGACTGCTGTTGGATTCACATGTATGTACCAGCTGGCTTTGAGTCCCTCCCATACGTAGCAGAACGCACTTCATCCTTCGGATCAGGCTCTGATGGTGTCGGGCAAATGTTTATCGGCCGAACATATGCCCTTTTAGGATTTACCCCCCACACAAAATGTGTTCACTTTCATGGTTCTACTGTCATGTGTTGTGCAGTAAGCCCAAATATTCATGAGCTCTGTCTTTGGCAACCAAAAGACAAGATGGTCTCATTGAATTACAAATAGGGAGCACAGCCCACTTTAGATGAATACTGTCATTCCTCTGTCGAAGCACTTTGGCCTTGCTGGGGTGAGTTAGCAGTATGCAACCCATCAAACTGGTGAATTTCAGGCTAAGTTTGGGTCAGTTTTTCATGTATAACTGGTGTTTTTATAATTGTTTTAGGAATATTTAAAAGGGTAAGTTACCAAAATAGTCAGGTGATATGTGCAAAATTTGAGGTGATATGTTCACTTTTTCATAAAAGCATGAAACTTTTTCAGAAATGGAGCCATTGCAAAAACACCTCGTGGTTGCCATGGTGACCATTTTACTTTCCGCCATAACCAAATTATGTATTTTGAGTCATATCTCCTGAACCAAACATGATAACACAGAAAAGGTGATGTCAAAAACACAAACTGTTCAGGTGAAGAGTTAATGGTGAAATCAGCAATGTGAGAAGGAAATAACAGTTTCTGAGCATCATAGTATCACAGCATTTACAAAAGTCCATATTATGGCTCTTAATTTTTTTCTTTTAAAGGGGTCATATGATGCTTTTTTAAAGATCATTATTTTGTGTATTTGGTGTAACAGAATATGTTGACATGCTTTAATGTTCAAAAAACACATTATTTTTCAAATACTGTACATTATTGTAGGTCCTCTATGCCCCACCTCTCTCAAACTCTTTGTTTTCTACAAAGTCCCTCCTTCCGACAAGCGCAGTCTGCTCTGATTGGCCAGCTGACCCAGTGCACTGTGATTGGCCGAACACCGCAAGCACGCGTCGGAAATGTAACGCCCCTTACCATAATCGCGAGCTTCATCTTTCAAAATAAATGTAGACAGAGCCCGAAAGGGGAACAGAGTCGCGCACACACACACACACACGATGCGCAAAACTCCGCATTTGAACAATCAATAGCAAATACTTAAACTAATAACAAAACAGCAGCTGATTCAGAAGCGCCAGATTGTCATAGCAAAGTCAGAACTACCTCCTCTGCTAGGTTCACGAAACGGTCGTCCATAAAATGCATTGCTGTTCTGTTGTAAGTAATCTTAAAGATTCCTAAATGCATCTACTTTCGGAAAGGCCAAATAAAGTGCTTTTGCTTTCGCCTAGAAACACACAGCGTCTCCCTGACATGCTGCTTCAACACTAACTGCGGTTACTGAAACCACGCCTTCTTTCTTTGCGTGCACATTTGGGCGCATTATGCTAATATTTCCACATAGTGAGGTAGATATGGGGGGGCGTGTTAGAACGAGCCGTTTTAGGGGGCGTGGCAGAGTCTTAACTTTGATAAAGAATATCTCTTTGGTTTTGAGACTTTAGTCTTTGCAACTTCAGGGATCTTATCTATGCACAATCAGCTTGTAACACTCCAAAGAGAAAGGAAAACTTGAAATCGCATCATATGACCCATTTAACTTAAAAAGAAAAAACTAAATGTCTGCATAATTGTCTAACAGAATTGTGATGTTACCTTTTCAGTGGAGCGACAACCATGGACAAGGCCTCCCAGAGATTTTTCAATGCCAAAAGACCTCAAAGGTAAAAGATACAACAAGATACCAAATGTGTTTAAATGTGATCAAAAAGGTGTACACAAACGCGTTTACCTCTAAATTACCTCTTAAATTTTTTTTTTTGTGTGAATTATTCTGTTAATATTTAAAATAAAAATTATTAAATAAAAGCCTTTTTTCAATCCTTGATTTAAAAAAAAAACAAAAAAAAAACACCTTTATTGCAGAAACACTGCATGTGCTGCTGCAGAAAGTAGACAGCCTGGCGGCCTCCCAGAGGGAAATTCTACTTCTATTGCGGAGGAACCAGAGTCGTCAAAGGGAGGACGATATCTTGGACCTCAAGACAGCTCAGTGCAAGGAGGAATTGGAGGACCTTGAGAACCACCTTAAGGACCCTGAATTTAGAAAGAAAGTGGTGGGTGCCAACTTAATTCAGAGAACAAAAAAAAAAAAAGTATCCAACATCATTATACCTTCTCTTTGCAGATTTTATATCAATACCAGTATCATTTTTTAGGATTAGGCAAACTAGTATGAAATACATTTATTTTACATCTACCTCTTAAGTGTTAGTTCACCCCAAAATGAAAATTCTATCATTGACTCACCCTCAACTTGTTCAGAACCTGTATGAGAGTTTCTTTCTTGTGCTGAACACAAAAGACGATATTTTTAAGAATGTTGGTAACCAAACAGTTTCTGGCCCCCACTATTTTTTTTCTACTATGGAAGTCAACACAGAACAGCAACTGTTTCATTACCAACATTCTTCAAAATATCTTCCTTTATGTTCACCAGAAGAAAGAACTTAAATGATATGACTTTAATTTTTGGTATCCCTTTTCCATAATTTTGCAAATGGCCAAATTGACTTCAAAATCCATCTGGAGAAGCCTTACACTGCAGACTTCCACTTCCACTCCTAGCTTCATTCGATCTCAAATGGCTTACCACCACAAGCACTAACAAATCAGGCAACCAGCTTAACTTAATTTACACATGCAATTGTATCACAGACAACATTTGGTAAAACCTATAGACATCTCTGCACATTTCTTTATTACATTTAACCTACATATTACTACCTGTGTGCCACCAATTCCTCTACCAGTTACTTTTAGGCAAAACCTATGCTCCCTTTCACCCTTCCATCTTTCCTCTGTAGTGTCATCCTCTCTTCCCTCACCCACCCTTTTCTCATCTCTGCATGTAAATACAGCAACTGACACTTTATGATCCACTTTAACTTCTTGTCAAGACAATATCACTCTAGACAGGCCAGTGCATAATACCCCTTTTAACCTAAAAATTTGCCCCATGTATCATCATCTTTACTGTATTTTACTGTACTAGATTTCTCAAATACAAAAAATTTAGTAGACTTGACCAAAATTTTTGTTGGGAGAAGAATGTATTGAAGATAGTAGTGTAGCAGTTCTTCAATAGCGATGTTAGCATGTCTTCCTTAACAATTGTACCCTTGTATGAATCCTAGCTTCTAAGTTCTGTCTGTGGGACATAATTTTATACCTGAAGACAAAAGGGCCAAGACTGCTTTGCTGTCGGTCACTGTAGCCCTGCAGATAGCGAAAGCTGATTCCAAACCATCAGTTCTTATTCTGCTAGATCTATCTGTCACTTTTGACACTGTGAATCATCAGTAGGGTCGGGTATCGAAAACCGGTTCCATTTTAGAACCGGTTCCACATTTCCAAGAACCGGGTATTCGATAAGACGCGTGCATTTCGATTCTGCTTAACGATTCCTGCGTTCACAATTTAATGTGATTAAAAACGCAGCGCACACGAAGCGCAAGCACGAGCACAGAGAACAGAGGTCGCGGTACGGGTTCCCGGTTTGTGTCCGTTCTCGA